AAGGGACACATGCACCCCAATGTTTATAGCAGCGCTATCAACAACAGCCAAAGTATGGAAAGAGCCCAAATGTCCATCAGCAGATGAATGGATAAAGAAGATGTGGTGTGTGTGTGTGTGTGTGTCTGTGTGTGTGTGTGTGTGTGTGTGTGTGTGTGTGTGTATATCCTCGAGGAGAAAGCAGACACACACACACACACAGTGGAGTATTACTCTGCAATCAAGAATGAAATATTCCCATTTGCAACTACGTGGATGGAACTAGAGGGTATTATGCTAAGCAAAATTAGTCAGAGAAAGATATCGTATGACTTCACTCATATGAGGAATTTAAGATACAAAACAGATGAACATAAGAGAAGGGAAGCAAAAATATAAAAACAGGGAGGGGGACAAAACATAAGAGATTCTTAAATATAGAGAACAAACAGAGGGTTACTGGAGGGGTTGTGGGAGATGGGATGGGCTAAGTGGGTAAGGGGCATTAAGGAATCTATTCCTGAAATGACTGTTGCACTATATGCTAAGTAACTTGGATGTAAATTAAAAAAATAAATTAAAAAAATAAAAAAAATTTATTTAAAGATGTGTTATATACATATACTTTACAATAGAATATTACTCAGCCAACAAAAAGAATGAAATCTTGCCATTTGCAACAACATGAATAAGCTAGAATATATTATGCTAAGTGAAATAAGTCAATCAGAGAAAGACAAATACCATATGATTTCACTCATATGTCAAATTTAAGAAACGTAACAGAGGAACAATGGGGGGCACAGAGAAGAGAGGAAAACAAACTACAAGGGGCTCTTAATGACAGAGAACAAACCATGGTTTGACAGAGGGAGATGGTGGGAGATGGGCTAGATGCGTGACGGGTACTAAGGAAGACACTTATGATGAGCACTGGGTGTTGTATGTAAGTGATGAATCACTGAATTCTACTCCTGAAATCAAAATTGCAATGTATTTTAACTAAAATTTACATTTAAAAATGCAAAAATACATACATACATACGTAAATAAATAAGGGAGATTAGGGGTCTTTTGTTTTTTGTGGGGTTTTTTGGGGAAGACTAGTTTTTAGCCCTATCACCCAAATCCTCCTGGTCCTTCAGCACTTAGTCTAACCTTCAGTGCTGCTTCCTGACATCTCTCATTTTCTGCTCTCCCATTATTTAACTCTTTTATTAAACTTATCATGGAAGGGGCAGCTGGGCGGCTCAGTCAGTTAAGCTTCTGACTTTGGCTCAGGTCCTGATCTCATGGTTCATGGGTTCAAGCCCCACATCAGGATCTCTGCTGTCAGCATAGAGCCCGCTTCAGATCCTCTGTCCCCCTTTCTCTACCCCTCCCCTGCTCACATTTTCTCTCTCAAAAATAAATAAATGTTTAAGAAAAAAACTTATCATGTAAGAGTCTTGTCACAATCACGCTGTAAATTTTTACAAGGTAAAAATAAGAACGATGTTGGATTTTTAAAAAATTTCTCTGAATAACCTGCATAGAATTTTATACAAATTTATTTAACAAATATTGGAGACCTCTGCATAAGTGGTGGCTGACATACTACAAATCACAAATAAAGAACAGTAAGAGTTCTGGTATATGATCAAGAGTCATCATCATCAATTTTTTACATATGCTAGGGCCAAAGTTTCATTTACAAGCCAGTAAAGGCAAATTCAAAAGACAAAAATAGTTCAGTCCTAGATAAGAAAATCAACACCGCAGAACATAGAGATGTTTTCACAACCATGTAATTTTAATAACCAGTATCAACAATCATTTAGGGGCTAAAAAATAGAGAAGAGAATTTAGAACAACCTTGGTATCTTACCTAAACTGTAAAAATTTTGAAATATAAGAGGAAACACCACATTATAAGACTAACAAGAGAAGTCAGATTGAGATTGACAGATTAGAGAGAGAAAAAAAATAGGAAAGAACAATTGAAAAAGAACAGTTCAGTCACTGACAGCAGCGCCTCTCATGTATCACAATATTCCCACACTATACCATGGTAAGCACCATATAAAAACTAATAACCAACAAACAATATTGGTGGGCTGATTGATCAAAAAATACTACCTTATGTTTAATACAGTTGAAGATCATGATCAGGTGTGTCAATCATTTTAATGTTAACTATTTTTGGTTAAAAAGTATGTTTCAGTTATTTAGAAAATCCATTTATATATAATACTATAAATAAATTACTAAAATTCCTAACTTAAGTAAATATATTACCAAATAATTAAAAACCACTGAAGTTAAAAAGAGGCTGCAAGTAGTTTAATCACCTTAATAAAAAACAGAAAGACTTAAAAGAACAATGTTGGATGTGTATCCAAAATACACAAAGAAATCTCAAAATTCAAGAGTAAGAAAACTCAATCCAAAAAAAAAAAAGGAAAAAACCTGAAGAGACATTTCAGCAAAGAAGAGATACAGATGGCAAATAAGCACATGAAACTATGCTCAACATCACATATCACTGGAAAATTGCAATTTTAAGATACCGCTACACATTTATTAGAAGGGCTAAAATCTACAACACGGACAATATCCAGTATTGGTGAGGATATGCAGCAACAAGAACTCTCATTCACTGCTGATGGAAATACAAAATGGTATAGCCGCTTTGAAAGACACTTTCTTATAAAAGTAAACATCTCCTTATGCTCTTTGGTGTTTACCTAAGCACACTGTAAATTTGTGCCCATACAAAAACCTGCACATGAATGTTTACAACTTTATTCATAATTGTCCAAAACAGGAAGCAACCAAGATATCCTCAATAAGTGAGTAAATCAACTGTGGTATGCCCACACAATGGAACATTATTCAGTGATAAAAAGGAATGATCTATCCAGTCACAAAAAGACATAAAGAAACCTAATTTCACATTGCTAAGTGAAAGAAGCCAATCTGAAAAGGCTACATATTGCATGACTCTCAACTATTTGACATTTTGGAAAAGGTAAAACTATGGAGACTTAAAAAAGGTAAGTGACTGTTAAGAATCCGGAAGGAGGAAAAAAGGGGTACTTAAGTGGAGCACAGGCATTTTTTTTTAAGGCAGTGAAACTAGTTTATTTGATACTGTAATGGTAGATACATACCACTGTGCATTTGCCAAAACCCATACAAAACAGTATGAAGAGTGAACCCTAATATAAACTATCGACTTTACTTAATAATAATGGATGAATATTGGTTACCAAGCATAAGAAATGTACTACACTAATGCAAGATGTTAACTATAGGGAAAAGTGTGGGTGGGGGAATATGGAGGCATATACGAACTACATACTTTTCACTCAATATTTTGGTCAACCTAAAACTGCTCTTAAAAATAAATCTGTTAGAAAAACAATAACATGAAATAAGGAAATCTGTTAACTTTAAGAGGATTAACCAAAGCAAATTTAACCTTACACCAAAAACATTTAGACAAAAACCACAAAACAAAAAATGAAGTGAAAATTCAAAACAACCCATGCCAGTGTCTTATCAGCCCATGCCTCATCAAATGAGGATTATAAAACACACCTGATGATAGACCTCAGAAGATTCTGATTAGATCAAATAAAAAAATACAGCAAAACAAAATTTACAGACACTGATTCAAAGAAGTACAATACAATCCCATGCTGCAGATTAAAGCAAGTCTACATGGAATATTTCTAATTCACAAAGAAATGTGTGGTTAGTGAACATAAGAGAGACATTTACCCATCCTAGAATCTACTGTCTTAAAAAAAACAAAACAGGGGCGCCTGGGTGGCGCAGTCAGTTAAGCGTCTGACTTCAGCCAGGTCACGATCTCACGGTCTGTGAGTTCGAGCCCCGCGTCGGGCTCTGGGCTGATGGCTCAGAGCCTGGAGCTTGTTTCCGATTCTGTGTCTCCCTCTCTCTGCCCCTCCCCTGTTCATGCTCTGTCTCTCTCTGTCCCAAAAAAAAATAAACATTGAAAAAAAAATTTTTTTTTAAAACAAAACAAAACAAAACAAACACAAAAACCCACTGCTTTTTAAAGATCCCTGGCTCAAACTGTAGTGCCAACAAATAACAGCATGTCCTAAGAATGGATTATGATACTTCCCTACGTTCTAGTATTTCGTTTGACCTATAGTTACTTTAAAAATAGAAATGTTAAGTCTTTTATAGGCAGGGCAAAGATTCCTTAGGTCAGCACAGACTCCATTCACATACTGATATTACCTGAATGATCTCTCTAGGCACTTCATGTTGTGACTTCTGATGTTTACTATCCTTGGAAATACCATGTGCTTAAGATTAATTCTTAAGCGAGGCAAGTGCCTAGTAATTTCATCATCACTCTTTAGAAGTCATACTGTAGAGCTCCAAATGTAGCCTCCTAACCTGGGATATGTTCTGCCAACCACCTATCTGACAACCACATGAAGCAAGCTAAGACTGAATAATAGATCTCTGAGACAAAGAGATTATTCGATTGATCTTTCACTCAACAAATATTTGCTGAAGGCCTCCTATGTGTTAAGCACTAGTCCAAGTGCTGGGAATATGACCTAGAACAAAATATTAAAATATTTCTGCCCTCATGGTGATTATATTTTTATATGTCTACATGGTCACCATACCATTTCTACTAGGCCCAGCATCCTCCTGATCTTTGGATATGTAGCAAAGGTAACCAGATTGATTGAGTTTATAAAATTATTCTATGTAATTTCAGCATCACTACACATAGTTGTTAGTTCTTACCTGGTCCTGTGTTGATAATAACGTAAATAGAGTTTCCAACGCTGCTCTTCGAACTGATGATATAGTGTGATGCAAAAAAGGCCAGACACGTGGAACTAGAACTGTGAGTGACTGCTGAATACTAATAAACAAGACACAAATTAGGCTTACTCATTTTCAGTTGAAATTCTATTGATTCATTTTCTAAATATGTCCTGTAGACCTCATACCTTTTTTGATGAATAAATTCTAAACAGGTAGTATTTTCATATGAACGTTCATTTAACATCCTCATTCAAAACTGTTATTATAGCACCAGAATACCCAGAGCAAATGCAGTCATAAATATCAACATTAAGCTCTATGGTACTAATGCCATGAATTACCTTTGTCAAAGTAGAACTTTCCAATATAGCTGCCCTTTTTTCAATCTGTTCTTAGGAAAATGGAACATGTGTCTTAACTGGTAGGCTACACAAAATCAAGATTAATTTTTTCTTCTTTCCCATGGCTAACCCCAATCAGTAATCATTAGATGCACATAACTTATATTCCCCATTGGGGTCATCTCTGCCACATTATCAAATGAGCAAGAGGTGGCATGGTAGTAGCTTCGAAATCTGTCATCCTGATTTAGCATTACTAAAGTTAGGAAAACTCAGATTATCTTCCTTCTCACAATTAGAATTTAAATGGAAAAGCAAGCAAAGCCACTTCTAGGCTAACAACTTGAACCATGGAATTCCTGTCATATCCATGAGTCATTTATAAAAACTACCTTGAATTAGGAAATGATTTAGAAATAGCATTTGAAATATATAACTCTAGAAAAAGGCATGAATAAAAAAGAATATGGCAGGTGTTAACTATATGTTCTTTTGTGGTTACCCTCAGGTCTATATTTTAGCATTATTTTCATCACTTGCAGGTTTGTATGAACATCTCTTCTCACATTTATTTACATGTTTAGTAAATTTACTTACAAAATTATTAAACACATGAACAGAGACAAAAAACAGACTCAAACTATGTAAAAGCATTATAACAAGGTCTTGTTAATAGAGCAACTTTTAACTGTTCATGCTCCAAATGACATGCTGCATTTCTTCTTACATAGCTGGAAAGTATCTGCCAAATATCATAATATGTGAAGCAAATTTCCTAACAGGGCAATTTTGAAAAATAAATACATAAAAGCTACATTATTTCACACATTATTGTATTTCATACATTATTTCTGAATTAACAGAATTTTTACTACTTCTTTCATTTCCTTACATTATCTAGCTTTCCTGACACTACTCAAAGTTTGTTTGTTTGTTTTTTAAGTCCTAAACCCTTTATTTAGGACAGTGGTTAACACAGGCTCACAATCCAAACCCACATCACCCTGTTTTTAAATAAAGGTTTACTGGAACACAGCCATATTCATTCCTTATGCGTTGTCTATGGCTACTATTGAGCTACAATGGCAAAGTTGAGTAGTTTTGACAATGACCATATAACCCACAAAACCAAAAATACCACTATCTGGGCTTTCACAGAAAAAGTTTACCAACTTCTGATTTAGGGTAATTAAAAACTCTTGCATTCTGCAGCTTGAGAAGGGCTTTCACACAGATGAACACATTTAATCCCTATAACTTTCACTACTAATTGAAATACCTGAATATTAGGAAATCCCATAAATGCACTACCAATTTTTCTCTTCGTTTGCTTTTACAGGCATTTATTTTGCAATTCCAACTTGTAGGTTGTCCTACTGCCTTAAATTTACCCCTGAAGTACTCTCAGCAGGGCCAGTATTACTTGAAATGTTCTGAACATGTTTTTAATACACCTATGATTTTCATTAGAAATAGACTTACAGAGCCAGAAATCATTTATAATCATGAGCATATGCACATTCACTAAACATCCTCTCTAGGTTAAGAACAGTAATTAATTTTCTCATCTGTGATTTTTAAAGTTGCATGTGAATTTTTTCTTCTGTATCTCCAAAGAAACTATTAATAGAAATAGTATTATTCAGGAGAAAATCTAAAAGGTAGGGAATGCATTAATTAGCTGAACTTTATTTCAAGTATCAGGACAGGAAAATAGGTGACACTTTTTGATTTATGTTTTTGGCTTCACTCAACCTCTGTCTTTGGACATTATTCTGCATTATTATGTATTATTCCCTTCCTGATAATTACTGAAATCAAGACCAAGAGTTGAAATGAACATTACAAAGAAAAAGTTCACTGAGGAGCAAATTTTGGAAAATGTAATGCTGATGTTCAATGATAATTCTATTAGCTGAATGTCTCTAAAGCTAATGCTCTGTATTCGGACTGGATATGAAAATAATATGCAATGATTAAATTCTTGAAGTTAACTATCACAGGATGAACAAAATGAAGAATTATATAACCAAAGTACCCCAAGGATAAACATGACCTTTTTAAGCTCCTGCCCCAACTATGCTGGTGGCTAGAGAGTAAAGAAAAGGCCAATTTGAAAATAGTAGTCTTTGGCATTGCCAACTCACTTTAAGTGCTGTACTTAAAGATGCCAAACTATTTTATTTTTAGGATTATCTGGAAATGTACGTAAACATATTTTACTTTACTAACTACAAATAATTACCTGCATTGTTGGACCTGAGGATAAGTTAATAAGGATGAAAGAAGAGTCATAATACTATTTGTTGAAGCAGTAAGATCATCTAGTTCCAGAAGAGCATCCCATAGTGTATTTATAATGAATGGTACCTACAGGATCAGTTATTAAGAAAACAGTTATTTTACACGATATACTCACAAGTCATGCAAAATTGTAGTCACTACTGATTCAAAAACATATACAATCCCCATGCCCTTGGATAGTGTCAGTTTTGAGCAAAATTAAAGAGGAGACATTATTTGCCTTTAGTAATTCTCTATCCCTCTTTAAATGCCACTCAACTCTACTTTGGCACGTCCCTTCATACCCAGGCTTATAACGGGAGGGAGAATTCAGGAAATAAGATAGCCAATACTCTTATTTTATGTAAAAAACTAAAATTGGAAAACAATATAGTGTACATACACCAGACATGACCTTCTCTGTAAACTAATATACTTAAAACGACACTAGTCATCATGAAAAGATAAATTTAGTTTTTGAGTTTTTAAATAAATACTGCTTGCTGCACTTCCAAATGCTGTATACATGTTATGGTTTTGATAATAAAAAAGAAAGACCTTAAAAGAGGCATTTCAAAAAATGAGACCAGATTAAAACAACTTAAAGCCAAAACCAAAATCAAAACAAACACAAATCCCATATGTCTAAAAACCAGGAGTAAAATAAAGAAGAAATGGTTGCTTTCTTCTCAAGTAAGTTACTTATATACTCTGTACACAAAGGGGAAGTAGATTAATAGACAAAATTCACTATTCCAAGGATAATATATAATTAAGATTGTATATGTCAGAGGACTATCTGTTATATGAAAAATGGGAGGACAGGATGTCTGGCTGGCTGAGCATGTGACTCTCAATCTTGAGGTTCTAAGTTCAAGCTCCACATTGAATGCAGAGATTACTTAAAAATAAAATCTTCAGTATGGAAACCAATTTGACAATAAATTTCATATTAAAAAAATAAATACATAAATAAATAAAATCTTTTAAAAAATTGGAGAATGAAGGAGAAAAAAATACTGAATGTTTTTCCTAATACTCTATACCCAAGTGTAAACAAGCTCTATAGAAGAAAATGCAAAAATATTTAATTTACCTTCTGTGTCTGAAGGTCTACAAGGCTTTCTACCACAGGTACTAGTGACGCTGCAGCAACAGCTCTGACATCATCATCAAAGTCCTGAAGTCCTTCAATTATTCTAGTTAAAACTTTAGGCAATAAAGTATTAATTACATCCTGTAAAACAGTACATCAAAACGGATTAATTTTCTGTAATGCAATTATTGTGCTTAAAATTTGTTTTATTAAATTTACCATATGAAAGCACAAGTCCCAATCTTTTTTTAAGTTTACGTATTTATTTAAGTAATCTCTATACCCAACGTGGGGCTCAAACTCATGACCCCAGGATCAAGAGTCACATGTTCTTCAACTGAACCAGCCCCGTGCCCCAAAAATCCCAACCTTTAGGGGCATCTGGGTGGTTCAGTCAGTTAAGCATCTGACTTCGGCTCAGGTCATGATCTCGCGGTTCTTGAGTTTGAGCCCCACATTGGGCTCCATGCTGACAGCTCAGAAGTTGGAGCCTGCTTCAGATTCTGTGTCTCCCTTACTCTCTGCCTCTTCCCTGCTCACACTCACTCTCTCTCGCTCTCTTTCTCTCTCAAAAATAAATAAAACATTTTTTTTAAAAGTCCCAATCTTTATTAAAAAAGAATCACGTAAACAAAAAAGAAAAATAACAACAGAAGTCTATTTGTAACTAATCCCATTTGAAAAACCACAACAGTATCAAGTATCTATTAAATGTGACTTAAAACATCAGATGTTTTCGAGGTAAAACTATGAACTCCCTGTGTGAACACATACAGATACATACCGCTATGCTGGACCCTCAATTTCTATTTCTTATTCAACACTAATGACAACCAAAAGGGGTGTGAGAGAAAAGGGCAGGAAAAGCTCTCCCTACTTCCTGCTCTCCATACTTCAATCTATTCTCCTTTCAACCTCCCTAAATAGAGCCAGCCTCCAGAGTCTATTTCTGGGATCATACACAAGGAATCACCCTGAGAATCGGTCTTCCTATGAAACAGGAACAAGTATTCAAACCTAATGAACCATCTTTTGATTTGTACTTAAATTCTTACAGTACCACCTATCTCTAAGATACTACCTCAAGAAGGCAAATCTTGAAATGCTGGCTCATCTGTAACACTAAGAATCTAAGGTCATTTCATACAATAAAAATAAGAGGGAAAAAACCTCTCCCATACATGCTTCAAAACCTGAAGTGTTTACCTGACGAACTGCCAAAGCATACTTTATTCCTAGCAGACCACCATGTCTAACTTCCCATTGTTCTTGAGTAAGTAATTTAAGAAGCACATCCACAGTCTTATGAACTCCTGTTTCATTCATGTGTTTTAACACCACACCTAATGTCTGAGCACAAGTTTCACGAACTGGTGCCACAACCTATGAATAAGAAAGGAAGAAAACTCATTTACAAAAAAACGTATTTTGTTGAATTTGAAATCTGATCGGACAAAGCCTCCCTTAGGTGATACTTACTTCATCAGAAACAAAGTCTCCAAATCTGTCTAATGCAAAAACACAAAGGAGTCTAATAACTAAGTCTTCCAACCACTCTTGATGCTGCTGAATCATCTGTTAAAACAATCATTTTTAATTACCAAAATCATACTTTGTATTGGGGGTTGGGGACACATTAAGTCCAAAATCAAAACTAAAATATTGGGACAGACGGGTTTTGCTGTAGGAACAACAACCAAAATACAGAAAAGTTCCAATTACTACCTTTAATATTAACCACATCGTGTTTATTGATTAATTAGGTTCAAATATACTACACCAAGATCTTTAAGATTCATGAATTCTATTATGTTACTTGCACTCTAAGAGAAATTAAGAAACTACTAAAGGTTGCTCTAATTTCAATTATATCTGTCATGTATCTATTATCTATCCTATTACCTGTGTCTCATGCTACACCAGTCATATTGCTCAATGACCTCTAAACTATCTTCTTACACCTCCTACTCTACTTTCCAATTTTTTGTATCTTGCTCTTATATATTTTTCCACTCAATGTTTCTGAACAAATCTTTCCCATGAACTCATTCTTTCTGTTAGTAAATAGACTTCCTCCTGACCTTTAAACATTTTTCCTCATATTTACCTTTCTATATTTATTTATTTCTCATTTCTATGTCATGGCACAACTCTGTAACTTCCCTGTCTTGAGAAAAGAAGCAAACTACTAAAATATGTTGATAACTGATCCTTTACTACACTTACCTCTTCTAAAGTGCTATCTCCCATTTTACCACCACTTTTTCCATGAGCTTTAAGGATTTCCCGAAGTCCAGTGCCTGCACCATGCCGAACCTAAAAACAAACAAGACGCAAATGTCAAAGGTTAAATGCTTAAGAAACTGAGTTTAACTTTTCTTCAATATGAAAAAGGGATTCTAGATTTTTAAGAAATCAGAATAAACTAAAGTGGCACTTCAAAAAAACGTGTTCTTCTGCTATCCAAGAAAAATTACATGCATTAGTTTCACAATTTTGGTTATGTCGAATTTTTCTAAAATCAAGCTAGGAAAATAACTACCCTAACATCCTTCTGAGATATTAATCTATTTGGCTATGATTTCCCTACCTTTTACCTGCAGTTAGCATTATCCCCAGCAAAAGTGAGGAAAGAATCATGTTGTTCCCTATAGCTCCAACATCAATATTTTAGAAATATATATATTAAAACTAAGTTCCAAAGATACCAGTATAAACGTGAAAGGAAGACAATTCAACTGTCTCATGACTAATGCTTCACTGTCACCCTATAGCATTCTGAAGCATCATCTGGAAGGGAGGAAACAGACCACTGGCACCTCACCCACCCACTTACTTATTCAAGACCCAATTTAAGTTAACACTTGAATAACTTTAAACAGATGTACATCAAGGAGCAGAAAGACCACTAAAAGGTATTCCACAGCAGTGGTTTTAAATTACCCAGAAGCCAACCGAAGTAGGACAGAATGCTTTGAGACCACCAACCCTCAACTTCAATCAGAGGAACCTCACTTTCATCTCTTTTAACATGCTGGGAGATAATCAAGATTTTCTCTGAAGAAATATTTCTGAGACTAAAAAGCTGGTTTGGAAACTATTACTCTTAATCAAATTGTCCTCTTAAAAAGGAAGTTTTTACTATTTGGTAGAGATACGCAAGTCTTTATACCACAGCTAAAAAAATGAAAAGAAACTAATAGTTCTCTAAAGATATATGATCAAAAAGGGTATGAAAGGTGAAAATCAGTCTAAAGTTTTCCACTTAGAAGATGAGTGATATGAAGTGCCCAGATCAGTGGGAAGAATAGGGACCCTAAAAAAAAAAATGATGTTTCACATGGTTCCCTTCATTAGCAAAAAAAAAAAAAAAAAAAATAGAGCTGAGAGAAGCTGTAATGAAGAAATCTTACCTCCCAGGAAGGATTAAAAAGGTCATTGCAAAGTTCTTCACAAAAGCTTTCTAAAGGCCATTCATTTGTCTGAATAAGAAAAACAGAATTACTACTAATTCAAAAGGTCTGTTTTATGCTAACAATTTAAGTAACTTAATAAAAGTGTATTTATATGTAGGTCTAGTAAAAATATGCTTTAAAAATTTTAATAATTAAAATTTTTACTAATGAAGTAAAGATACAATAAAATTTCTCTCAATGGATAGATTATTACCTACTGACACATCAGTATGAAAAAATTATAAACAATTTCAAAAGACACTTTAGGGTATTTCAATAGTACCTCTTCAAGTAAGGAAGAACTGTCTGGAATATTATCAATCAAAACTTTGGAATCATTTGTAGACTGATTAATAACAACATTTGCTATTTTTCGTCTCTTTTCTTCTGGTTCCCCATCAGTGCTATCATTGCTAAAAAATAAAAGTCACCATTTTAAAAAGTGAATAAAGAATAATGTGAACCACAGTGAATGTAAAAGAATACATCATATGAACACTTGTTTTGCCACATTCATGGTTTACTTAAAACTTCGTATATCAAATAAGTAAGATCAACCATGTAAAAAGTTTTGAGCAGAATATATTCCCCTACTCTCACTAATGAATGTAAAATAGGTTCATGAATTCTTGCTTTCAAACTCAATCACAAATTTAACAGTCTTTCTTTCTTCCTCTCTTCAACCAGCTCTTCTCCTTTTCATTTTAAACTCCCTTGGCCTAACAACCTAAATCTGGCCCAGCTTAACTTTTCTAGGCTTTTCTACCCTAGAGGAAACTAATACACTGAGTAACACACTATAGTCCTACTAGCTCTTTAAAAAAAAGAGATAAATGACCAATGAAAAATGTGTCCAGAAAATCTGAAGAAATGTTACTTTATGACTAGAAAAAAAACATTGAGGCTAGCGTAATAATAAAACATAACAAATGAGAAGACAAAACCACTTTATTCAGTATTAACAGAAAGGACAATCAGCACAGTTGAGGTACATACAGCACTATTTTCTAAAATATCCCCCGTATCTTAATAATGTGACTTATTTGGCCAACCATTTTTTCTAAAGGTGATGAAAGAGGGGCACCTAGGTGGCTCAGTTGGTTAAGTGTCCAATTCTTGGTTTCAGCTCAGGTCATGATCTTGTGGTTCATGAGTCTGAGCCCCACATCAGGCTCTTCGGCTTTTCGCTGATAGTGCGGAGCCTGCTTGGGATTCTCTCTCCCCCTCTCTCTGCCTCTCCCCGACTTGTGCTATCTCTTAAAACAGACTTATATAAACGAACAAACAAACAAAAAAATAAATGTGATGAAAGAAATCTAACCTTGCTCAGTCTCATTCTCTATTACTCTTCCCCTAATTCTCTCCAATCTAGAAACACTGGTTGGCCACCTTACTCTCCTTGAACTTGTTAAGCATTTTTCTCCTTCCAGACATTTGCCCTTATGTTCCCTCTATTTGGAATGTCTTTTCCAAATATTCATAGGACTCGTATCCTCACTCCTTTCAGATCTTTAAAGAAAAGTCACTTCTGTGAATCCCTCCCTGACTATCCTTATCTAAAATTTCAAATTTTCTCCCCACAACACATTTCACATGTTCCTTCCTTGTTTTATCTTTTTCCTACTTAACTCTTATCATTAACATGATATATGCATATATACATATATGTGTGTGTGTATACATACATATATATATTTACTTATCTTTTAATTTTTTTTAATGTTTATTTATTTTTGAGAGAAAGAGACAGAGCACAAGATGGGGAGGGGCAGAGAAAGAGGGAGACACAGAATCTGAAGTAGGCTCCAGGCTCTGACCTGTCAGCACAGAGCCTGATGTGGGGCTTGAAATCACAAACCACGAGATCATGACCTGAGCCAAAGTGAAACTCTTAACCAACTAAGACACCCAGGTGCTCCTATCTTCTTTTTTTTTTTTAATGTTTATTTATTTTGAGAAAGAGGGAGAGAGAGAGAGAGAGAGAGAGAGAGAGAGAGAGAGAGACAGAGTGCGAGCAGGGGGTGAGGTAGAGAGAGAAGGAGATACAGAATCTGAAGCAGGCTCAGGCTCTGAGCTATCAGCACAGAGACCAAGGTGGGGTTTGAACTCATGAACTGTGAAATCATGACCTGAGCTGAAGTCAGATGCTTAATCAACTAAGCCACCCAGGCACTCCTACTTATCCTCTTTAAAAAAAAAAAAAAAAAAAGATTTTAGGTTTAAGTAATCTCTACACCCAACATGGAGCTTGAACTTATAACCCTAAGATCAAGAGTTGCATGCCCTACCAACTGAGCCAGCCAGATGCCTCTACTTATTTATCTTCTCCCTTATTCATTTTTTCCTCCAGAATGTAAGCTCCGTGAAGGCAAAATTATCTATTTTATTCACCAATGCATCGTAAGGGCTTAGAACAGTATCTAGCACTCAGAAGGTATTCAGTAAATATTTGTGTAATGAATGAATCATAAACTCTGAAAAATAAAGTCTACTATTTCTATATTCAAATATTTGGGTAAAAGTGCTTATACAAATAAAGTCAACAGAAAACTATTAGGTTACTATATACAATCCTAATAAGTTGTTTACTTAAAAAACCCTGTAGTTTAATGAAGTTCAATTAAAATTTCATACTGAACAACTTAACAAGTAAAAATTTATACCGAGTAGATGTTTATTATTTACTCCCTTTGAACCTAGTTTTTAAATAAATACTATAAAACACTTACATTTTAGCTTTATATTTATAAACGGAAAAAACAAAAGGTCCTGTCATCTGCAAAAAAAACTTTGTAAGTTTTCATGTGTTTAATTACTCAAACATTTCTAGAACACCATAAAAGATTCTGATTTAACAGAGCTGAATGGGGCATTTTAATGAATGCCCCATTCAGCTCTGTTAAAGGAAAATGAAAATCTGCATTTTAACACACCCCTCAAAGTGCTTCTGAACAAGGCTGTTTTGAACCAGTCTTTTAGAAATGCTGTTCCAGACCATACACAGATACCACTTTTATTAATTCATTAAAAAAATGTGGACAGTGATTTTATCCAGAGTTCTTTCCTACAAGATTAAGTAAATAAACTTGGATTACTACCTCCTATTTGGTCTAGCCACCAGGCTAGAAGACAGATGATGTAACACTGTGACAGTTCTATACTAATCAATATTCTTAACTTGTGGCCCTTAGGGGCGCCTGGGTGGCTCAGTTGGTTAAGCGTCCGACTTCGGCTCAAGTCATGATCTCGCAGTTCGTGGGTTCGAGCCCCATGTCAGGCTCTGTGGTGACAGGTCAGAACTTGGAGCCTGCTTCGGATTCTGTGTCTTCCTCTCTCTGTCCCTTCTCCCCTTACACTGTCTCTCTCTCTCTCTCTCTCTCAAACATAAACATTAAAACAAAAACAAAAACAAACCTGTGGCCCTTAGACCACCTCTCTGACTTCACTCGGTCCTACCCTCACCTCCGTCTACTCATCCTAGATATACTGCCTTTCTTTCTGTTTCTTGAATAGTCTATGATTAAGGCATTTACATTTGTTCCCTCTGCCTGGAATGCACTTCCCTCAGAAGATCTTCAGCCCCCATTCAAAGGTCATAATTGGTAAGGAAAAATAAATCTGCATATGTGGATTATTCTGGGGAAGCTGTCCTAGTCCCTAGTAATAATAAATAATCTCTGACAATTGAGCAAAAACAATCCAAATGGTACTCCACAGCTAAAGACAATGTCAGCAAATGTTTTTAAAAATCAGGCAGACACAAATTTAATCTATAAAGCATCACTGTTTTAAATGAATAAGCAAAAAAAAAAAAAAATTACTACCTCTTTTCATTAGTTTCCACTGCATCTCTGGATCTCTGTTTTGCAAATAACTTGGCCATTCTTTTAGCTTTGTTCTTTTGTCTACTGCTCATTCCTGCTCGAAATTCTGAGTCAATCAATTCAGCTGCCTGGAGAGTCTAAAAGAATAAAAGAATGCTGAGTTTGAACTTTTGAAGTTAAAATAAATACCCACAGCCTCAGAACAGTACTAAGTCTATAAATTTCACTATATCCAAACTGACCAGTTTGACAGCTTCATGCTATTCTGTTATATGGTTATTACCATAATTTCACTCTTTTATTCCTTATTTCCTATTCTTCCAATTCTCAGCAGATGTTTGTATGTTTCTTAACTTTTTTTGTCACCAACGTAGCACAAATGTATGATCATAACCCACAGATAGGGTTTTGAAAAGGTGATACTTCAAAATGACCACAGTAATAAAGATGTGGTGGTACACAGATACAATGGAATATTACTCAGCCATAAAAAAGAACAAAATCTCACGATTTGCAACAACTGGATAGATCTAGAGTATAACACTATGCAAAATAAGTCAGAGAAAGACAATCACCATGATTTCACTCATATGTGGACTTTAAGAAACAAAACAAAAAAAAGAAAAAGAAAAACCAAAAACAGACTCTTAATCATAGAGAACAAATTGATGGTACCAGAGGGGAGGTGGGTGGAGGAATGGGTGAAACAGGTGAAAAAGATTAAGAGTACACTTACCTTAACTCCAAGTAACATAGAATTGTTGAATCAATACATTGTACACCCAAAACTAATAACACTGTATATTAATTATATTGGATTTAAAATAAAAACAAAACAAAAAAACTGTAATACCACCCTAAAGTTGTAGGAATAAAGAATATTAATTAATATTAATAAGTAAATAATTAATATTAATTAATTTCAATATCACCTATTGAAAAAAAATTATAGGCATAAGTGATCCAGCATCCTATAGTCAACTTAACTCATATTGCTCCTTTTCTCTTAAGCCATCACTATCTACTGTTTTTGCTGTCTTTTCCATTCATGGGAGACATTATAAAGGCTGTGAGACAGAAATGCTTTCAGCTCAAGCCTAAAAATCCTTTCTGCCCTTAACTGATTTAAGATTCAACTAAAATTCACTTTGACCACTAATCTGGGTCACTGGTATGGATACCCTGCTATGGTCTTAGTCCAGAGACCAATGGCGCATATACAAGCAATGATAAACCTATGGCAACAAGTAACATTAAGCACCTCCTCCCAAAGGTCCATGACATATAAGGCCAACCCAACTTGGATCTCACAAACCTCAAAGTCTCTGCTGCCCATCCTACATACAACTATTCTGTCCATACCCTATCTTCTCTAATATACTTGGCTCATCTTTTTTCTTATACCATACACAATAACCACACTATAATCACATTACTACATTTTTGTTCTCCTTTATTCTATTTTTATTTTTTATTTACACCTCATGCTTCTCTTTGCACCTCATTTCTTTCTGTTTCTTTATAGTTGTCATATTTTCTGCCTCTTTATACTCTTCTTTTTTCCTCAGGAATGTTTTTTTTTTTTGTCTGCAAAAGTTATTCATCAACACATACTCCATTAACCCTAAAGAAAGGTTTGAAAATTCTGATGGTTTAGAGAACCAGTATAAAGGAAAAGGCCAAAAGAAAGACAAGACAAGGGTTTCATGACTGAAAAGCAGGAATTCTTAATAAGGACCAGGAAACTCTAAAAAGATACTGCAGTGGCAAGAGGAAAGAATACCAACCCCCTTGAATGTTAATATTTCAGTTGCATGTGAATTTTTCTTAGGAGAGAGCCACAGCTTTTTTACTGGAGCTTAAGCAGTTTGGGACGTTAAAAAAGCAGCAGCAGCTTGCGAGCATCCAATGGGAATTTGAAGAATGGAGAAAAGGGAGAAATACAGAGCAAAATTATGGTACATCCATAGAACAAAAGAGAATGAAGCTATCAAAAAAACACATGATCAATCTGTATTACTGATATATTCAGCTACACGAAATGGGAAAAGATAAATATGGCTTAAAATACAAATATTTGTGTCTGCATGTACAAGTAATTCATGAAGGGTTGCCTGTGAGGCATGGGGACATGCATGTCCATCAATTATTAAAAACTTTTTACTTCATATTGTATACCTTTTTTCATTGTTTGAAAATTTTCTTATCATATCTGTTACTTTGCCAAATAGAATAATAAATCACTGCTCTAAAGATTTATAATATCATACTAGCCCTTACTATCCTCTACTCTCTCAAACATTTACTCTTTTTTTTTTTTTTTTTCCACTGAAGAACAAAGGAAAAAGCAATTGGTGCAACTGGGATCTCTCAATAGCAGTGGCTCCAAAAGGCCCACCACAGCGTTTATCTAACAGTCAATCCAGAGTTTATAAGGTAGGCTGAACTTCTATCTCTTTAGGATCTGTTACCAGAAATCCAATTTATGAAGACACTAAATACTAAATTATGATGGAACAAGCCGCAATGAGCAACAGCATTTTTTTTTTCATTGCAATAACATGGCAAGATGAAGCAAAATGCTTGTATTACTTGCAGTCAAATAACCAAAGATTTTACCTACAGGTTGTTTGTTTACAAGGGCTGTTGAAGTTGGAGTATAATCCAGATCTTCATCATTGAAGAGTTCTTCAGTACTCATTCCAATGGCTTCTCCCATATTAAGACCAAGTTTCTTTTGTAATAGTTTCCGTTGGCGTGCTATCCTCTCTTTAGGATCCACTTCACCTTTAAACAGAAAAGAAATACATTTCCTCCAAATCAGGTAAGAAGTTTTCTAATCAATGAAGATCAACCTTGATTAAAAGTAAAAAAATTTTAACTATTAAAACACCCCTCTCAGGAGGTGGCTCAGTCAAAGTCCAACTCTTAATTTCAGCTCAGGTAACGATCTCACGGTTCATGGGACCGAGCCCCACGTCAGGCTCTGTGCTGACAGCGCCGAGTCTGCTTGGGATGCTCTCCCTAACTCTCTCTGCCCCTCCCCTGCTAACACATGCACTTTCTCTCAAAATAAATAAACATTTAAAAACAACAAAAACCACCCCTCCTGACAATAAAACAAATCATACTCACAATCTGAACATGTCATAAACTCTATTATCTAACTATGATTGAAAAATAGTGTTATAGGGGCACCTGGGTGGCTCAGTCGGTGAAGTATCCAACTTCGGCTCACGTCATGATCTCACAGCTCGTGAATTCGAGCCCTGCATCAGGTCTGTGCTGACAGATGAGAGCCTCGAACCTGTTTCAGATTCTCTTTCTGTCTCTCTCTGCCCCTCCCCATTCACGTACTATCTCTCTCAAATATAAATAAACATTAAAAAGAAAAATAGCGGGGGCGCCTGGGTGGCGCAGTTGGTTAAGCGTCCGACTTCAGCCAGGTCATGATCTCACGGTCCGTGAGTTCGAGCCCCGCGTCGGGCTCTGGGCTGATGGCTCAGAGCCTGGAGCCTGTTTCTGATTCTGTGCTCCCTCTCTCTCTGCCCCTCCCCCGTTCATGCTCTGTCTCTCTCTGTCCCAAAAATAAAAAAATTAAAAAAACGTTAAAAAAATAAAATAAAATGTAAAAACTAAAAAAAAAAAAAAAAAAGAAAAATAGTGTTCTCACTAACAAAACATTCTAGGAATTTTCACTGAGATCCCACCATTGCTCCACTATCAATTATCAAGTATATATAAAAGGAGATTCATGCTTATGGAAATAAACCAATCTTATTTATTTATTCATTCATCCATTCTCCACACCCATCATGGAGCTTGAACTCACGACCTTGAGATCAAGAGTTGCATACTTGGGGCACCTGGATGGCTCAGTTGGTTAAGTGTCTGACTCTTGATTTTAGCTTAGGTCATGATCTCATGGCTTGTGAGTTCCAGTCCTGCACTGGGCTCTGCTCTGGCAGTGCAGAACCTGCTTGGAATTCTGTCTCTCTCTCTCTCTCTCTTTCTCTCTCTCTGCCCCCTCTCCCCTGCTCATGTTCTTCCTCTAACATTAAAAAAAAAAAAAAAAAAAAAAAAAAAAGAGCCTCCAGTCTTTCTAGTTTGAGGAACTAGAGGAAAAAGAGTTAAAGTTCACTATAGCCACTGAAAGGTAAAGAAAACCCAAAAAAGAGAGAGCCAGAGAGAAGACCCAAATTCTGTAAAACCTCAGCCAAAACTCTAGCTTAATTATAAACTATGTGAGCACATGGCAGACTCCAAACAGTCCAGCTAAAGCTAAAAAGTGAATTGAGATTTGAGCTGTTGCCCATCTCAGAGGAATTGCAATTTGAGTTTCACATAATTAAATGCCTGCTAAAACAAGCAAAAAAAGAAAAAATCAAACCAAAATCTTTTTTCGAAGAATATAACAGAATCCAGCCTAAACAATATATATAGCATTTATCACGTGAGGGGCAGAATTCAAAATTAAGCAACATACAAAGAATCAAAAAATGTATCCCACTCTCAAAAGAAAATTACGGAAGACCAACTCTGAGATGACCCAGATGTTAGAATTAGAACACATGATTTTTTTTTTTTTCAACGTTTATTTTATTTTTGGGACAGAGAGAGACAGAGCATGAACGGGGGAGGGGCAGAGAGAGAGGGAGACACAGAATCGGAAACAGGCTCCAGGCTCTAGACCATCAGCCCAGAGCCTGACGCGGGGCTCGAACTCACGGACCATGAGATCGTGACCTGGCTGAAGTCGGACGCTTAACCAACTGCGCCACCCAGGCGCCCCTAGAACACATGATTTTTAAACAGCGAGTTTAACAATGGTTTATAAGGAAGATACTGTCACAATGAGAATACAGAATACCTCAATAAAGAAACAAACCATAGGGGCACCTGGGTGGCTCATTCAGTTAAGTGTCAGACTTTTTTTTTTTTTTTAAGTTTTTTTTTCTTAATGTTTCTTTTTAAGAGAGAGACAGAGTGTGTGAGCAGGGGAGGGGCAGAGAGAGAGGGAGACACAGAATCCAGAGCAGGCTCCAGGCTCCAAACTGTCAGCACAGAGCCCAACACGGGGCTCAAACTCACAGACCGCCAAAGTCGGACACCTTGAATGACTGAGTCACACAGGTGCCCCAGCATCTGACTCTTGGCTTTGGCTCAGGTCATGATCTCGTGCTTTGTGGGTTTGAGTCCTACATATGACTCCAAATTGACCACAGGGAGCCTGCTTGGGATTCTCTCTCCCTCTCTCTCTGCCCCTCCCCTGCTCATGCTCGCTTTCAAAATAAAAAAAAAAAAATTAAAGTTAAAAAAAAAGAAAGAAAGAAACAGAAACTATAAAAAAGAAACTGAAAGAACCATATACTTGTAAAGAGTGAATTATATGATGTGCAAAATATGCCAATAAAGGCATTTAAAAAAAAAAGAAAAGTAGATCTGGACTGAACTATACAGAATCTGAAATTTTAAAAATCAGAGTGAGCCTAACGTCTGAATGGAAATATCAGACAAAGCATAAGTGAATTTAAAGATGAGAGGAATTGGGGCGCCTGGGTGGCTTGGTCGGTTAAGCGTCCGACTTCAGCTCAGGTCATGATCTCACGGTCCGTGAGTTCGAGCCCCGCGTCGGGCTCTGTGCTGACAGCTCAGAGCCTGGAGCCTGTTTCAGATTCTGTGTCTCCCTCTCTCTCTTGCCCCTCCCCTGTTCATGCTCTGTCTCTCTCTGTCTCAAAAATAAATAAACGTTAAAAAAAAAAAATTTTTTTTAAAGATGAGAGGAATAAAAGTACCCAATCTGAAGAACAGGGAGGGGGAAAAAAAGATCTAAAGAAATAAAACCTGAAAATGAGATTAAAAAAACAATTCTACTTACAATATCATTAAAAGCAAAACTTAAAACTTATACTCTGAAAACTACAAAAATCCTGGTGAAAGAAATTAAAGATCTAAGTAAATGAAAAAACATTCCATGTTCATGGATCATAACACAATTACTATCGTTAAGACTGTAATACTTCCCAAACTCATACAGAGTCACAATTCCTATCAAAATGCCAGCTGACTTTTCTGGAGACACTGAAAAACTGATCCCAAAATTCATATGGAACCAGAAACATCCATAACAATCCTGAAAAAGAAAACAAAACAAAACAAACTGGAGGTTCAAGCTTCTTGATTTTAACACTTATCACAAAGCCAAAGTAACCAGGACAATGAGATACTGGCATAAAGATAGACATCAGTGGAACAGAACTGAGAGTCCAGAAATAAAACTATAGTTCTATGGCCAATTGGTTTTCAACAATGGTGCCAACATCATTAAGTTCTTTTCAAAAAAGGTGTTGACACAACAGGTTAACTACATGCAAAATAATGAAGTTAAACCCTTAACCTCACAACACCACAAAAATTAACTCAAAATGGGTCAAATACATGATAATATAAGAGCTAAAGCTCTAAAACTCTTAGAAAAAACACAGGAGTAAATAACCTTAGATTTGGCAATAGCTTCTTAGACATGACATCAAAAATTTGAAAAAGAAAAGAAAAAGATAAGATGCACTTCATCAAAATTATTAACTTTTGTGCTTCAAAGACTATCATCTAGAAAGTAAAAAGAGAACTCGGAATGGGAGGATATGTTTGTAAGTCACCAATAGGAGATTTGTACTTAGAATATATAAAGAACTCTTACAACTCAATAATAAAAGACAAGTATCTCATTTAAAAAATAGGCAAAGGATGTGAACAGACAGTTCAAAGAAGATACACAAACGGTCAATAAACACATGAAAAGATGTTCAATGTCATGAATCATCAGGAACATGCAAGTCAAAACTATAAGATATCACTTCACATTCACTAACTAGTATGGTTATAATCAGTCAGTTAAGAACAAGTGTTGGCAAGGACACAGAGAAATCAAAATCCTCATATACTGCTGATGGAATGTAAAGTGGTAGAGCAAGTTTAGAAAACAGTCTGGCATTTCCTCATATGGTAAAACATAGTTTCCACATGATCAAGCAATTTCACTCTTGGGTAGCCATACAGGAGAAAGGAAAACACGTCCATACAAAAACTTTTACAGTAAACCCCCGGATTGCGAGTAACTTGTTCTGTGAGTATTCTGCAAGGCAAGCAAACATTTCTAATAAATTTTAACTTGATAAATGAGCAATGTCTTGCAATGCTAGTAGTACATGACACTGAACATCACATGATCACAAATGAGCCAAAGGTGTTCTCTGTTCTCTCTCTCTCTCTCTGCTGGATTGTGGGTGATGGCCTCCCACGCTTGGATGCTCAGTCTCAGGCTGCGGTGTTTGGCAGAAATCAGCGGGTGCAAGCCCTATGTCAGGCTCTGTGCTGACAGTTCGGAGCCTGGAGCCTGCTTGGGATTCTGTATCTCCCTCTCTCTCTGCCCCTCCCCCACTCATGCTCTCTCTCTAAAAATAAACATTGAAAAAAAAATAAAAAAGAAATAGAGTAGCTTAACACTACATCACAATGCCTATGTCATTCACCTTACTTCATCTCATCAAACAGGCATTTTATCATCTCATATCATCACAAGAAGGTGAAGTACAATACAGTAAGATATTTCAAGAGAGATTTCTATAACTTTTATTAAAGTATATTGTTATAATACTTCTATTATTAGATATTGTTGTCAACCTCTTACTATGCCTAATTCATAAACTAAATTTTATCATAGTTTTGTATGTAGAAGAAAAAATGGTATATATAGAGTTTGGTAATATCTACGTTTTCAGGCATCCACTGGAGTCTTGGAATGTATCCTTTATGGATAAGATTACTGTATAAAGTTTCAGTTTTGAAACACAGAGTTCTGAAGATCTGCACAACAGTGTAAATGTACTTAATATTATTGAATTATACATTTAAAAATAGTTAAGATGTAAATTTTGTTATCTATAGTCTACCACAATTAAAAAACTGACACATCCTATAACAGGAATAAAAACTATAGAGGGAATCAAAATGAAGTACTTATACTACAAAATGGATAAACCTTGGAAACATTCTGCTAAGAAGCCAGTTGCAAAAGACCATATTTTAGATGATTCCATTGATAAGAACTGTCCAGGATAGGCAAATCTAGAGAGACAGCAAGATGCTTAGGGCCCAGAAAGGGAGGGAAGAAAGAAGGGTGTAGGAGGTTGATAGCCAAAGGATACAGGGTTTCTTCTTGAGATAAGGAAAATACTCTAAAACTGACTGCACATATCTATGAATATACTAAACACCACTGAACTGTATGCTTTAAAAATGAGTGAATTGTATGGTATGTGAATTATATCTCAACAAAGCTATTTTTTTAAAAATTTAAGTCTGCTCTACCTGGAGAGAAAAACACTAGGCATCCAAAAGCAAAGACTGCTGGATCACAAGTCCATGATACACAGAAGTCCAAAATCAGTCTTCTCATTTCAGGCAAAGTCCTACTGCGGAAAGTAACCCATACAACCGCAAACGAAAATCAGACTAGCACCTATACAAATCATGTATGTGTCCTTCATATATGAGGAAACAAACAGATGAGATATTTAAAGAAAATCTAATTAGAGGATTTTAAATGAGCACTGTTGAGCATACTGTGACTTATCATCATTAAAATCCAAGTTCCCCCAAAACTGGGGTTTCCAATCCTGGTTACATATCAGAGTCACCTGTGTAGTTTTTTCTTTTAAATACAAAGACCTAGAGCTCTCCACAGACCTATTAAATCAGAATTTCTAAGGTAAGACCAAACACGTATTTTTTTAAGTGACAGGGGGGACACTGCCTTTTACTCCTGGATAAGGACCAATGATCTCTGATATGATGACAATAGTAAAATTAGTAAGCTTACTGTTGAGAGAGAACTTTTTTCAAATTGGAAAGTTTTTGAAATGACTTCTACCTCCCACATTAGAAAAACTATGCTTTTCTGGAACTTAACCAAATTCTCCTTTTAATTCTCTCCAAAAATAATTAAACTACAATTGACCCTTGAATAACACACAAGGGTTAGGGACACCAATCCCCCAAGCAGTTAAAAATCTGTGTAACTTCTGAGTCCCCAAAAACTTTACTACTAATAGTCTCCTGTTGATCAGAAACCTCACCAATAACATAAACAATCGATGAACATGTATTTATACATTATACACTACATATTCTTACAATAAGCTAGAGAAAACAAAAGTGTTATTAAGAAAATCATAAGGAGGGGTGCATGGGTGGCTCAGTAGATTGGGCCTCTGACTTTGGCTCAGGTCATGATCTAGCCATTCCACAGTTTGAGCCCTGCGTCAGGCTCCTGAGAGCTGGAAGCCTAGAATCTGTTTCAGATTCTGTGTCCCCCTCTCTCCATCTGCTCCTCCCCAATTCATGCTCTCTCTCTCTCTCTCAAAAATAAAAATACTAAAACCTGAAAAAAAATTAAAAATTAAAAGTCATAAGGAAAACATAATTACAGTACTGTACTATATCAAAGAAAAAAACACATATAAGTGGACCCACACATTTCAAAAACCTATGTTGTTCTGAGGTCAACCAAAGATCTTTCAACAGAAACCATACTGGGGTAACTTGGTGACTCAGTTGAGTGTCTGACTCTTGACTTTGGCTCAGGTCATGATCTCGCAGTCTGTGGGATTGAGCCCCCAGTCAAATTCCTGCTTGGGATTCTTTCTCTCCTCTCTGCCCCTTTCCTGCTCCTTCTCTCAAAATAAATAAACTTAAAAAAAAAAAAAAAAAAAAGGAAGAAAGAAACCATATTAAGAGTTAATAGGTATTTGTCTTTTTTTTTAATGTTTATTTATTTTTGAGAGACAGAGCAGGGGAGGAGCAGAGAGAGAGGGAGACACAGAATCTTAAGCAGGCTCCAGGCTCTGAGATGTCAGCACAGAGCCTGATGTGGGGCTCAAACTCAAGGACCACGAGATCATGACCTGAGCTGAAGTCGGACGCTTAACCGACTGAGCCACCCAGGCGCCCTGTTTGCCTTTTTTTTTTTTAAGAGGAACAAGTGAAGATCACTTCATTAACTTAGCTATACAGATATGCTTTGAGTAATAACTAACTTTATTAGCAACAAAAACTGTTCTCTTTTGGTCTTAGGCAAAAGAGCAACTTATTTACTTACAGAAATCCATCAAAAACATCAAGGTTTTTTCCACTCAAAGCATGAATCCTGAATGGCCAAAACATTATTTTATATCCAGATGGATTCTATAAGTTTAAAGATAATGGGACAAGTACCTACCCAACATTTATTTTTCATTTTTAGTGTTTGCTTTGGTCACCAGCATGAGTAGATCCAATTATTTAAAATTTAAAACACATGATAAAAAAGAAAACTGTCATACAGTCTCCCAAATGTCCCGAATTGTGAAAACAGTATCACAATCTGTACTAATCCAGGCTTTTAAAATCTACTCAACTGGGAGAACCTGTGTGGCTCAGTCCGTTTTAACCATCTTGAGTTCGGCTCTGGTCATGATCTCATGGTTCATGAATGTGAGCCCCATGTTGGGGTCTGCGCTGACAGCACGGGGCCTGCTAGAGACTCTCTCTCTCTTCTTCCCTCTCTCCTTCTCTCAAAATAAATAAACTTGAAAGAAAAAAATCTATTCAACTGAGGCTCTTGGGTCACACTTTATAATTTCGCTAATACGTAGTAAAATGCCTGTTCAAATACTAGTATGCATATATTAACAATGCACAGATATAGTACAAAGTCACTTAAAAGAAAATATTCATATGGTACATTAGATCCAAATATTTTTGGTTATCTTCTCCACCCACAGGGCCTCCACCTCCCCAACTGCAAACTTCAGTCAATTTACATTTTGTAACATCTATGTTGATTTTGCATGGCTGGTATTATAGCATGCCAAGTAATAAATTAGTCTGTACACACACATTTCAGATTTTCTTCTATCGGACTACTACATACCTGATTTTTCATCTTGTACTTCAAATTCTGCACCAGCAGATCCCAAAAGTGATGCCCCATGCTGTAACAATCTACATATATCAAATCTGTCAAAATTCAAGCGATCTGTAGCAGGTGAATCTTCCATAGCACTTTCTGAAGTAGATTCTAAATGAGGTTGAAAAATATTTAATTTGATTATAAAGTCAAAGTATAGAATGAAAGAAAACAGCATCATGTGGGGTGGTTGGGTAACATTTTAAGACAAGTAAAAGGGAGAATTAAGTAGAAAAGCTACTGTGGATTTACTTATGATCAGCTCTTATTTATGAATAAACTATTTAGTTGGAGCCCCCCCACTTCTACAAACTATCAGAATGCCAGTGGATGTAGGTATAGCTGTTTTTGACTACAAAAGCACATTATATGAAGAAATGCATCCCATATTGAAAAACGTATGCTAAATGCCATACTGTCTCCATTTACTGTTTAACAGTTTGAAAATACCAACTAATAGCCTGAGGTCATTATAGTGCAAAATTGGAAGACAAACATATTCACATACTATATTCATATATAATAAGCTAATAAGCATCATTCCTCCCTATACCTGAGGAATACCTATGACACAAAGCAAACTATTCATTCAATAGGTCTCCTCATAATATGAGCAAATTATAATCTCCTGGTAAATTGCGAAAATCATACATCCATCTGAGGCCTAAAACTATCCGTAAAATGTTTTGTGTTCCTCCCCAAAAAAGGTTATGCCATGATGAATTTGAAAATCTATTGTAACTGTTCACTGACTTAATAATTTACCTAGCAGGTATTTGCATATAATTCATCTATTAAACAAAGCATAATTCCCAAAGATAAATAAACGTTGAAAAAAAAAATTTAAAAAAATAAATAAATAAATAAACAAAGCATAACTGCTTTAAATTTTCCAGTGATGATAAGCAACCTTCCCATAAATTTTAATGCTGGTGTAACTAATTGATTATTTTATAAAAAGAATCTGAGTTCTAATATCTCTATATACCAAAATAAGCATGGAAATAAGCTGAAAAAGAGGAAGCTCTTTTCTAGAACAAGTTATAACTTCTGGTCATGTATTTCATTTGATGAGGGAAGACAAATTAATATAATCATTCAAAATAACAGGTGCTAGATAATTAAAGCAAAAATTTTAGACAAGCTAAAATGTATAATAAAAGTGAAGTTATCAAAGTGACTTGAAAATTAAAACAGGTTGCACCATATTCTCAATTAAAATGTACACCTTTACAATTTTTTTTTTATGAAATTTATTGTCAAATTGGTTTCCATACCACCCAGTGCTCATCCCAACAGATGCCCTCGTGAATACCCATCACCCACCCTCCATTCCCTCCCACCCCCATCAACCCTTAGATTGTTCTGTTTTTTAAGAGTCTCTTATGGTTTGGCTCCCTCCCTCTCTAACCCTTTTTTTTTTTCCTTCCCCACCGCCACGGTCTTCTGGTAAGTTTCTCAGGATCCACATAAGAGTGAAAACATATGGTATCTGTCTCTGTATGATTTATTTCACTTAGCATAACACTCTCCAGTTCCATCCATGTTGCTACAAAGGGCCATATTTCATTCTTCTCATTGCCAAGTAGTATTCCATTGTATATATAACCACATCTTATCCATTTGTCAGTTGATGGACACTGAGGCTCTTTCCATAATTTGGCTATTGTTAAAAGTGGTGCTATAAACATTGGGGTACAAGTGCCCCTATGCATCAGTACTCCTGTATCCCTTGGGTAAATTCCTAGCAGTGCTATTGCTGGGTCATAGGGTAGATCTATTTTTAATTTTTTGAGGAACCTCCACACTGTTTTCAGAGTGTCTGCACCAGTTTGTATTCCCACCAACAGTGCAAGAGGGTTACCGTTTCTGCACATCCTCTCCAGCATCTATAGTCTCCTGATTTGTTCATTTTGGCCACTCTGACTGGCGTGAGGGGATATCTGAGTGTGGTTTTGATTTGTATTTTTCTGATGAGGAGCGACGTTGAGCATCTTTTCATGTGCCTGTTGGCCATCCGGATGTCTTCTTTTTTTAAAAAAAATTTTTTTTTCAACGTTTATTTATTTTTGGGAGAGAGACAGAGCATGAACGGGGGAGGGGCAGAGAGAGAGGGAGACACAGAATGGGAAACAGGCTCCAGGCTCTGAGCCATCAGCCCAGAGCCTGACACGGGGCTCGAACTCAAGGACCGCGAGATCGTGACCTGGCTGAAGTCAGACGCTTAACCGACTGCGCCACCCAGGCGCCCCCGGATGTCTTCTTTAGAGAAGTGTCTATTCATGTTTTCTGCCCATTTCTTCACTGGATTATTTGTTTTTCGGGTGTGGAGTTTGGTGAGTTCTTTATAGATTTTGGATACTAGCCCTTTGTCCAATATGTCATTTGCAAATATCTTTTCCCATTCTGTTGGTTGCCTTTTAGTTTTGTTGACTGTTTCCTTTGAAGTGCAGAAGCTTTTTATCTTCATGAGGTCTCAACAGTTCATTTTTGCTTTTAATTCCCTTGCCTGTGGAGATGTGTCAAGTAACAAATTTCTGTGGCTGAGGTCAGAGAGGTCTTTTCCTGCTTTCTCCTCTAGGGTCTTGATGGTTTCCTGTCTCACATTCAGGTCCTTTATCCATTTTGAGTTTATTTTTGTGAATGGTGTGGGAAAGTGGTCTAGTTTCAATCTTCTGCATGTTGCTGTCCAGTTCTCCCAGCACCATTTGTTAAAGAGACAGTATTTTTTCCATTGGATGTTCTTTCCTGCTTTGTCAAAGATTAGTTGGCCATACTTTTGTGGGTCCAATTCTGGAGTCTCTATTCTATTCCATTGGTCTATGTGTCTATTTTTGTGCCATACAAATTTTTAAAAGCATACATTCATTTTTAACTATCATTGCAGGCAGTCAGAAAAATAATTTCCACTACAAGATATCTAAAGGACACGTAAGAAATTAAAGACCCCTCCAAATATCCATATATAACTGTGCTTAAATTTAAAAAATAATTACACTAGTCTCCCAGTAACAAGAGAAAACACTTTCAAATATTTACACTGCACTGATTTGGTTTCCTTTTTTTTTTTTAAGGACATAAATTCCTTGAGGGAAGCAATAATCTCCATAAATCAAGCATAGAATTAATAACTTAAAAATATGTATGAAAATATAATTTATCTAATATCTTAAAGCATGGTGAAAATCACCTTATTCAATGTCATTTCCCGACAAAGCTGTACCTGAAAATTAAGGCTTTAAATTAAAACTGTAATTTTTAAAATATAAAATGTATAGTATAATTAATTCTACAGTTAGATTTTTATTGCAAACTACTTTTACCACTTAAAAGCACCTTGTCTGGTTCTTGGTATTGGATTCCACTCAGGTACATTTTTCACTATAGCTTCAACAGCCTGTCCTGCTGCAATGCGGGTATCCCAATTTGTACTCCTTAAATATATCAACACCTTAAAAAATTAAAAGATACAATAGTTACTCCAAAAAATATTGTTTGTTCAAGGTAGTCAGAACAGAGAAATACAAATTTATTTGTTGTTAATTTATAGTTTAGTACTTGGGCTTTATATATAAATTATAGATATATATGTGAATACATATAAATACATACACCTTGGAATTACCGTTTACAAGATTCTATCATTCACGGGAAATATCACTACACCTTAAAAAAGGGAAACAGGAAACTTTTATTTAAAAAATACTTAAGTGTTGGGGCGCCTGGGTGGCTCAGTCGGTTAAGCATCCGACTTCAGCTCAAAGTCATGATCTTGCAGTTTGTGAGTGCAAGCCCCGCACTGGGCTCTGGGCTGGAAGCTCAGAGCCTGGAGCCGGCTTCGGATTCTGTGTCTCCCTCCCTCTCTGCCCCTCCCCCGCTCACACTCCGTGTCTCTCTCAAAAATAAACAAACATTAAAAAAAATAAATACTTAAGTGCATCTAAAAAATAACCTAGCTTTTAACATACTAAAAAGTACAATGTGTATTTTCATGACGTCCCATTACTTATTGCAAAGAGTTAAAAAACTAGTATAAAGAATAAGGGCGCCTGGGTAGCTCAGTCAATTAAGCATCTGACTCCATTTCAGCTCAGGTCATGATCTCACTGTTTGTAGGATGGAGCCCCATGTCAGGCTCTGCTCTGACAGAGCCTCCTTGAGATTCTCTCCCTCTCTCTCTGACCCTCCCCTGCTCATGCTCTCTGCCTCTCTCTCACAATAAACATTTTTTTAAAACTAGCAGAAAGAATAAATGAGTTAATCAAGATTGGAAGTTATAAAATCAATATACAAAAATTAATTGTGGGATGCCAGCGTAGCTCAGTCAGTTGAGCTTCCAACGTTTGATTTTGGCTCCTCAGGTCATGATCTCATACAGGTCACAATGTCACACTTCCTAGATCAAGCCCAGGGTCTGGGGTGTCTGGCTCTGGGGTGACAGCTCCAAGCCTGCTTGGGATTCTCTAGCTCCTTATCTTTCTGCCCCTCCCCCACTAGCGAGGGCATACACTGTCTCTCAAAGTAAATAAACATTAAAAAAATGAATTGCATTGCAATACACTTTCAATAAACAACTTGAAAATAAAAATTTTTAAATCACGTTGTGTTTTTTTTTCATTGTTTTTTTTTAAAGTTTATTTATTTTTGAGACAGAGAGAGACAGAACATGAACGAGGGAGGGTCAGAGAGAGAGAGGAAGACACAGGGAGGGTCAGAGAGAGAGAATCCGAAACAGGCTCCAGGCTCTGAGCTGTCAGCACAGAGCCCAACGCGGGGCTTGAACTCACGAACTGCGACATCATGACCTGAGCCGAAGTCGGACGCTTAACCGACTGAGCCACCCAGACGCCCCTGTTTTTTTTTTTTTTTTTGTAAAAAGAGTCTACCCGCACGAACTGGGGAGGGGCAGAGGGAGAGAGAAACTTAAGCAGGCTTCATACTGAGCACGGAGTCCTGTTGGGGCTGTAGAGATCCCACAACCGTGAGATCATGCATGACCTGAGCCAAAATCAACAGTTGGACACTCAACTGACTGAGCCACCCAGGCCCCTAAAAATCTCATTAATAATAGCATCAAAAAGTATAAAATACTTAAAAATAAACTTAATCCTTAGATCAGTTTTCTAGGTGTGCAGGATGGTTTAGCGTTGGTCTGGCTGTATTTCATGGACACGAGACACACAAAAAACTTCCATGCTGTTCCGCCATCTTGGCTCCCTCCTTAAAAATAAACTTAAAATGCAAGACTCATATACCGAACATTACCAAAAAATTCAAAATAGCATCAAATCAAATAAAATCTAAATACAGTAAACAGAAAGACACCTCATGTTCATGGATACAAAGATTTAATACTGTTGGGGCGCATGGGTGGCTCAGCTGGTTAAGCATCTGGCTCTTGATTTCAGTTCAGGTCATGATCTCATGGTTCATGAGTTCGAGCCCCACATCAAGGTTCACAACGCAGAGCCTGCTTGGGATTCTCTTCCTCTTTCTCTGCCCCTACCTGGCTCATGAACACACATGCTCTCTCAAAATAAATAAACTTTAAAACAAAGAAAAAGATTTAATATTGTTAAGATAGTAACACTCCCTAAATTGATCTACTTATTCAACAAAATTCCTATCAAAATCCCAGCTGATATTTTTGCAGAAATGGGCAAGTTGATCCTAAAATTTATATGGAAATGCAAGGGACCCAGAATCACCAAAACAATCTTGAAAAAGAATAATAAAGTTGGTATATTCACACTTCTTGATCTCAAAACTTGCTACAAAGTGGTAGTAATCAAGACAGTGTGGTACTGGCAAAAGGACAGGTATACAGATCAATGGAAAAGAACTGAGAGTCTAAAAATAAAATTGTGTCTATGGTCAACTGACTTTTAAGAAGAATGCCAAGATAATACAATGGAGAAAGAATAGTTTTTTCCACAAATGGTGCTGGGGCAATAAAATGATGACTGAACACCTACCTTATCCCATACACAAAAATTAACTCAAAATGAGCCATAAATCTAAAAATAACAGCTAAAACTATACAACTCTTAGAAGAAAATACAGAGGTAAACCTTTGGGACCTTGGATCAGGCAAGATTTCTTAGATTGATCCCCAAAGCACAGAGATATGGAAAAAAAAAAGGATAAATATGACTTCATCAATCTTAATAACTTTTGTACTTCAAAGGATACACTTAAGAAAGTGAAAACACACACAAAAAAAAGAAAAGAAAAGAAAAAAAGAAAGTGAAAAGACAACCACAGACTGGAAGAACATATTTGCAAATCAAATACCTGGTAAGGAGCTTGTATCCAAAATATATAAGGAACTCTTACAACTCAATATTAAAAGAACAAATATCCCACTTAAAAATGGGCAAAGGATCTAGACAGTTCAGTCAGTTTATGGTCAATAAACACATAAAACAACATCACTGTCACCAGGAAAATGCAAGTCAAAACTATAATGACATATCATTTCACACTCACTAGTATGGAAATAATCAAAGTCAGTTAATAACAAGCACTGACCAGGATATAGAAAAATTAGATCTCTCATAAACTGCTGTTAGGAATGTAAAACTATGGAGCCAGTTTGGAAAACAGTCTGGCAGGTCCCCAGAAAGTTAAATGTAGTTACTATATGATCCAGCAATTCTACTTGCAGGTATATACCCAAGAGAAATGAAAACATACACCCACACAAAAACTTGTATGTGAATTTTCACAGTAGCATTATTCATCAAAGGCCAAAAAATGGAAACAACTCAAATGTCCATCAACTGATGGACAAATAAGATGTGATAGATCCATATAATATATTCATATCATATCCATACAATGGAATATTGACAATAAAAATGGGGAAAAAAGGAATGAAGTAATGAGACACACTTCAATATGAAAGAATCTTAAAAATATTATTTTAAATGAAAGAAACCAGTCATGTTTATATAAAATATTCAGAATAGGCAAATCTACAGGCAGAAAGCAGATTAGGTTGCCTAGGGATGGGTATGGGAGGAGTACTAGAGAATGACTGCTAATGGGCATGAGGTTTCTTTTGGGGGAAATAAAAATATTTTAAAATTAGATTGTGGTGATGATTGCACATATCTAAAATCATTGAGAGGGAACCTGGCTGGCTCAGTCAGTGGATCTTGTAGGTCTTGGAGTTGTAAGTTCGACCCCTACACTGAGTATAGAGATTACTTAAAAATAAAATCTTTTTTTTTTTAAACGTTTATTTTATTTTTGAGACAGAGAGAGACACAGCGTGAACGGGGGAGGGGCAGAGAGAGAGGGAGACACAGAATCGGAAGCAGGCTCCAGGCTCCGAGCCATCAGCCCAGAGCCCAACGCGGGGCTCGAACTCGCGGACCGCGAGATCGTGACCTGAGCCGAAGTCGGACACCTAACCGACCGAGCCACCCAGGCACCCCAAAAATAAAATCTTAAAAAAAGGTAAAATAATTGAATTGTGCACTTTACATGGGCAAATTGTATGGTATGTACATTATATTTCAATAAGTTTAAAAAACAAAACCAAAGGCAACAGGAAAACAATGAAGGGAGAAAAAAGAGGATAGGAGGTGAGAAGGTACTAAAGACAAACTTTGCCTCTTTTGGAATTATTTGATGACAGCCAGCAAGCCGGGACCTAAGTTAAGAAGACCAGAACTCACCTGGAAGGGTGGAAACCTTTTCTCAGTTCAGCACAAATTAGTTTTGCTCACTGTTTCCAGTTTCAGCTCATTCAGTCCTCAATCTCTTCCCTTGGGATGAGAAGAAATGGGTATACCTCTCTATCCCCCTACCTTACACATGAGCATAATGCATCTAATATGCATTCTTCTCCAGGGACACCTGGATGGCTCAGTCAGTTAAGCATCTGACTCTTGATTTCAGCCCAGATCATGATCTTGTGGTAAGTTTGAGCCCTACATTGGGCTCTGTGATGATGGTGCAGAGCCTGCTTGGGATTCTCTCTTTCCCTCTCTCTGCCCCTCCCCTGCTTGCATACACACTCTCTCGCAAAATAAATAAACATTTTAGAAATTAAAAAAACAAAACAAAACATGCATCCTTCTCCATTCTGAGAACATGGAGCCTGTGGATGTCAAACCACTGTCTCTTCGTCTACATACTGTTTAGAAAGTACTGATAATATCTAACTGGGAAATATACTGGAAAAGACAGTCACTGTCAGCCCTCATGATAGGAACTATATAGTATAGATTTGTACGTTCACAACAGCTTAGAACGCCTACTCATATGAATCAAAGAGAGACAGATGAGAATGAACGGAGGGGGTAATACCAGCAGGAAGAGAGTTATCTTGGGATTTCTAATGTCTGGGCTATTATATTGCTCTCCCACCCTCCTCCCTACCCAAGCTCCCCAACACACAAAGCGCTCCTGTTTTTATTCTGCATGCCAGAGAATTATTAAGCATGTGGAATGTATTGCTTACTATCATACAGGCACACTTCTACAAGTCAACAGAGTTCAATAAATACACAGCCATTGCTTAGGGAAAGAATATGGGCTAGGATTATGAAAACATTGATCCATCAAAGCAGAAAGCCTCCACTTTCAAAACAGGTGATAACGAAAAATGTAATGACAGAGGCTCCTGGATGGCTCAGTCGGTTAAACATCTGACTTCCGCTCAGGTCATGATCTCACAGTTTGCGAATTCAAACCCCGCGTCGGGCTCTGTGCTATTGGTTCGGAGCCTGGAGCCTGCTTCAAATTGTGTCTCTTTCTCTCTCTGCCCCTCCCCTGCTCACACTCTGTCTCTGTCTCCCAAAAAATGAATAAACGTTAAAAAAAAATTTTTTTGGGGGGGCGCCTGGGTGGCGCAGTCGGTTAAGCGTCCGACTTCAGCCAGGTCACGATCTCGCGGTCTGTGAGTTCGAGCCCCGCGTCGGGCTCTGGGCTGATGGCTCAGAGCCTGGAGCCTGTTTCCGATTCTGTGTCTCCCTCTCTCTCTGCCCCTCCCCCGTTCATGCTCTGTCTCTCTCTGTCCCAAAAATAAATAAACGTTGAAAAAAAATTAAAAAAAAAAAATTTTTTTTAATGTAATGACAACTTGCTTCTCATATATTTCAATCATTTCCCATGAGTACTCAATCATCTGAAGACCAACAACTATAATTACTAGCTGTTAAAAACAGGTTAGACCACTAATGAACTAGATTAACAACTTAGCTCATTACCAAACTGGGTCAGATTAAAATTTGTGCCACAGGCAAAAGGTTCTATGTTGTCAAATCCCTTAGACAATTAAACCTGATACAAAAAAAAAAGCCAAAATATTTTAAATATTTTGACAAAAAGATGAAATTTAAAAAAATATTTGGAGACACAGTAAGATATTTAATGGACTCTGAAGACCACAACTGTGACTAAAATAAGACAATTTCTGGGGCACCTGGGTGGCTCAGTCGGTTAAGCATCCAACTTTGGCTCAGGTCATGATCTCACAGTTTGTGAGTTCGAGCCCCGCGATGGGCTCTGTGCTGACAGCTTGGAGCCTGGAGCTGCTTCGGATTCTGTGTCTCCCTCTCTCTCTGCTCCTCCCCTGTGCCTACTCTGGGTCTCTCTCTCTGTCTCTCAAAAATAAACATTAAAATTTTAAATAAATAAGTAAAGAAATAAAAATAAGACAATTTCTATCATTATATTCCTACCCACAGATAAACTTCTACAATAGCATTATACTAAATGGAAAAAAAAGGGGGGGGGGTTCTTACTTTAGATAAAAGATTATTTAGTTCATGGGGATGAAGCTTTACCACTTCTCCAAGTTGCTGTGCAGCAGCTTTTCTTGTAACTGGAGTAGTGCCAGTATCCAGTAAGATAAAAAGACGGTCAAGCCTAAAATAACAAAAATATAATGATTATTCTGAAACATGTTTCCTCATAGATGTAAGCTTGAGTCAACAAATGTATTGAGCATTTATGAAAGAAGACCTATTCTAGGGTTGCAGGAGAAATCTCTACACTCAAGGAACTTGCAATTGGGGGTAGGGTGAGAAGGAAGGCAAGTACACAAATAATTAGAATACAGTGTACAATAACACATATTCCAGAAAAGAAATGCAAAATGCTTTGAGGAGTGGGAACAGAGGAAGTAAATACTATATATCCCCAACTGTGTAATATTGAAAAGGCTTCATAAAAGAAATAGTATATGGGATGGACTTTCATAGGTCAGCCATGAAGGTCTTGGTTCAAGAAAGAGATGGGACTAGAGCTCTATTTTAGGAAGATTAATCTGGCAGCAGTGTGAAGCATGAAATGTAATGGAAGAAAACTTTTAGAGAATTTTAGTCTAAAAGTGCAGACCTAAACTACCATCATGACTAGAAGCCTAGAAAGAAGTTGGGAGAGACACTGCAGAGGCAAAGCACAGTGTAATAAGAAATGTCAAGGAAATGAAAGATTTCTCAGACTCTGGATCTTAGAAAATGAAGAGGTCACTTAAAAAAATGGGAACTAGTAGAGGAAATATTGTGGGAAATGATGACAAGCTTACTAGTGGCGGGGACAGGATAGCTACAAGAAACCAAAAAAGATAGTTGGAATAGAGATGTGAAGTTCAGGAAAAATTGAGACTGCAGGTATATAGGTATATGAAATCATGTGTGTAGAGGTGACAAATGTGGCAATAAATAAAATCTCTGAGGAAAGAGTTTCCAAAGGCATACAGCATACTGGCACAAATTCTAGAGTCACAACATCACAGTTCAAACTCCAGTTCTACCATTTAACCAATGACTAAAGCTTGGAATATCACAATGCCTTATACCTGGAACAGGTGAGGAGAAGTGGAACACTATGTTCTTGTGGTTTGGGGATACAGGAAAATCCTAAGGTTTTAGAAAGGAGAAAGGCCAAGTCACAAGTAATTACCACCAGCTGTCCACCTATCATATATAGGTCTAGCTTTCCTATCACACTACTAATCAGGCTCAGTAATGCAAAGTGAATGCCAGAAGTAATGAAAAGAGCCTCATACTTCATATAGGGAATAAATGGGTACTTTAAAAAATACAGAGGATGGTAAAGTTATATCAACTGCCTAATCCTATACAAAGGGGAATTTAAAGAATACATTTTCAAATTTTATCTAATGAGAAAGAGAAAGCAAGTAAGGTCCCAAAGCTAACCATGAGCATTAAGCATCAATAAACTACAGTGAAGCTTGTATTTTACTTCTGGGATTACAGGTATTTTTCTTTCACAAAGAGCTAAAAAATTACACAACAAAGCTCTAAACGTCTTTTGTAAGATAAACCTATAAGGGGCAAATGAAATGGGCTGGATTGTTCTTTTCTTTTCTCTGGTAGTATTTATCAAACTAGCCAGTCACTAATAAGCACAGAATCATTATAACTAGTAAGAAATAGAACTAAAATCTTTTTCAGTCAAGAACAGTAAGGGTACTTTGAAAAGTCTTCAACTGCTTCAGAACAAAACACTAAGAGGTACAGTTCAAATTTATAGTTAAGGGTATATAGAAAGGACAAATTTCAAGAAAAATATGTGAGGTAATAAAAAAGCCAGTGATAACAAAGAAAAACAGAAACACAACACAGTTTTTGCTTCCGATACAATGAATGGCACACAGAGTGATTATAAAGAAACTAATTTTTGTAAGACACACAAAAATTAACTTACTTTATATATACACCATGTACAGACACAATCCACCTGCTGAAACAATTATTCTCCTTATTAATTCAAGGCTGTCTAAATACTTGCCTTTACCCATTTATTCATCAGGTTTTGCCACAGATTTGGTGAACAGTGACTCAGAAATAGTGGGACAAAAGAATAGGAGAAAAAAAATTTTTGACAACTGGTGTTATTTAAAAAATTCTATGACTGTCAGACCCAAATCCCTTCTTCATAAAATGATCTTCCCCCCATCCCATACATAACGCTCAGAATGCCCCTTGAGTTATTTTCATTTTTAAATCAAGTTGTGATATTAATGTTCATGAGAATCATCTCTGAGCCTCCACAACAAATACTTGCATGTTGCTATTACCATATGATTTTGTCAATAAAATTTGCAAAAAGAGATTTCAAACATCTATGAACAACTTTCTGTAATTATCAAGACAAAAATTCATTTTAAATATTCTATATTAAGGAGTATCTGGCTAGCTTAGTTGGTAGGGCATGCGACTCTTGATCTCAGAGTTGTGAGTTCAAGCCTCACATTAGGCATGGAACCTACTTAAAAAAAAATCTTTGTATATTATATGGTAGGCAAAATTATCAAAAATTAAATAAGTTTTATCACAAAGAATGATTAGTCTTAGGTCAAATTTATGCTACTCTAAGTGGACTTATATTTGTATATGCTGCATGTCTTTTGTGTAACAATACTGGGCTCTCTTATATGTATACAGTTCATGGAGATTCAAGACTTTCCTGTGGAAAACTGTGGTAAAATGGAAAACAAACTAGACTGAAAGTTAGGAGACCTTTAGAAGTCTTACTGCTGTCACATGTTGGAGGATTCAGGGAAATTTACTTCATTTAACCTCTTATTTTGGAGGGTAAAACTAGATAATTTAGGCATATTTTAGTTTCTCATCACTGTGGGGTTTTTTTTCCCTTTTTTCTTATGTAACGTAATATTTGTCATATCTCTGACTTATTTGATGTGAAGTTCCTTAGACCTCACCTCTGGAAAGATTTCAACTACTTCATTAATTCTTTTTCCAGGATGAAGATTCTGCTTTTTATGACCAAAAGCAAAGCTGGCTGCAAAATGAACACTGTAAGGAAGTGACACTACCCTGTTTATAAAGTTAAAAGAAAATGGACAGATTGCAACATTTTCCCCCATCATTTCCACCTTCCCCAAGACGCCATTACCATTCCTCATTCCTTAAAAAAGGAATGCACTACTTCACTGAGTAGATCTCTAGGCTTTGTAACAGATCTCAAGTTCTCTCCTCACTACCTCTAAAGATTGCTCGTTACCCTCATCCTATTTCAAATGGAAAGACAGTCCTCACTTCTCTTTAAGGTTTAGATACTGTCCCACTGTTTCCTTGATATCATCCTCTTCTAGCTTCATTCAATCATCCTTTCTCTAATACCTTAAATCACTGCCTTATTAATCTATTCCCTTCTACCTTTAAATATGCGAAAGTGTGTCTCTGAAGAGAAAATAAACGGCTTGCTCCTCATCTCCTAGTTTACTTTTTCTTTTTCCCTGCCAAGCATCACAAACAAGTGTTTAAAATCACTTCTTTTAGGGACACCTGGGTGGCTCAGTCAGTTAAGCGTCCAGCTCTTGATTTTGGCTCAGGTCATGATCTCGCTTCAGGCTCTGCACTGACAGCATGGAACCTGCTTGGGATTCTCTCTCTGCCTCTCCCCTGCTTGCACGTGCTCTTTCTCACGCACTCGAAATAAGTAAATAAAACATTTTAAGAAATCATTTCTTTCCTCACTATACACAATTTCATCCTTATCAATCAAGTTTCTGTTCTTCTCTTCTACTAAAATAGCACACCTGATGGGTCACCAATAAACTTGTAAGCTCTAAATCCAATTTTTTTAAGCCCAATTTTCTTGACCTTTCTATAACATCTGATATCAGTAAGTACCCCATTTTTAAGACATTTTTCTTCCTGACTTTTCACAACTTTATATTACCTTGTTTCCATCTGAATTCTCCATTTTTCCCCTGGTTTCCCTCTTATTGCTGTCCCATATTCAACCCTTGGCTCCTTACCCCACCAGTTTCTCCCTTAGGAAACTAGGTTATTTGTTTAAACTGTAACAAGGTACAAATAATCCCCAAAACTAGTCTATCTAGGAGCTCTAGTGCCACACTTCCAACTGCCTGGTAAGCATAACCCCCTCATAACATGATCTTATTGCTAGATTGATAGTACTCTTAAAGTACTCTTTGATCAAATTACTACCTTACCCTAGAACTGTCAATGGCTCACCCTTACCTATCAGACAGTAATCAAAATCAAAAAAAGTATCTCCCAAACATGGGCCTTTTTGGTTTCCACAATTTCATCTATATCATTTCTTCCACTTGGAATGTCTTTTTTTGGTTCAGTTCTTGAGCTAGCTACAACCCATCAAGACTTAAAATCCTTTACCCTTTTGAAACGATCTCAGACTACTGTATTACAGAGGTGAACTCCTGTAATCTACACAAATTCTCATCTTAAGTAGCCATTTTGGTATTTATTATGTTTTGTTTTATGGCACGTCTTACATTAATTTGTCACATGACGTCTTATGCTTATTAGGCTTCACCTCCTTCAGTGATTCTTTTTGTCTCCCACAATACTTTGCATAGTGTCTCTGCAAAGTCTTTGCTTAGTATTCAAATATTTGCTTAGTTGGTATTTGCTAAAATTAAAATTATAAAGAAAAGTACACATTTCTTAGGGCCAAGTTTAGGCACCATTTTTAAGCAAAAAAAAAAAAAAAAACTTGTGTGCTAAAAAAAGGAGGGGGTGGTGCTATATTAGAATTTTTTTTGCTTCCTTTGAGAAATACCCTTGATCTGTAATACCTATACTATATGAAAACAAGTTGTAAAAATAACAACTGATGCTAAGGTAATGCTTCAGTAAGTGGTAATAAGATCAGCACAGCAGTACTTCAGCATTCTGAACATCAAGGCAGTTATGCCTGCTCCAAATAGCAAGCTGAAAGAGACCATGAAATGGGTACTGTATTCCTTCAATAATCTCCATACTTTCTTTTTTTTCAACGTTTATTTATTTTTGGGACAGAGAGAGACAGAGCATGAACGGGGGAGGGGCAGAGAGAGAGGGAGACACAGAATCGGAAACAGGCTCCAGGCTCTGAGCCATCAGCCC